AGAGTGTCCTGGCCCTGCCATGCGGGAGCCTCCTGGACTGCTGTGGGTGAAGACTCGAACCCAAGCCCCAGTGCTGCTGCACACGCCGTTCCTGCCCCGGAGAGGGCGGCGCTCTCGGTCACCGGGCTGCTGGCTGCTCCGCTTTCGTGCATCCTCCCCACTCCGAAGGGTGTGGGCATTAAAAGAGGCTGGTACCGGAGGGCATTTGGGGTCCCTCGCACTGCCTTTTGTCCCCCCCCCACCCACCAGTGGGATGCAGCCCCAAGAAAGTCTCTGAAATTAAATTGTTCCCTCAAGCTGGTCCTCCAAACGCTCCACCCTCGGATTGTCATTTCATGCACGGAGCGAAGGCAACCAGACGTGGGGTGGTCATTTTCATTGGCAAATGTTCCCTCGCCATCCCCGATTGCATTCATTCTACAACTAGTGGAAGGAACCTCCATGTTCAGGAGCAGTGTACCTCCAAACCCCTGCACAAAGGGAACAGAACAGCTGGGGGTGGCCCTGCTGCAGGACACCTGGTGGACTGCCACTGGAGGCAGAGCCCTGGGTGCGACAGATCCTTGGATTAGCTAAGCAGACCCTCCATGCTTAGAGGCAATATACCTCTGAATGCCACCAGATGTCAGGGACCACCAACAGGGAGCAGTGGCTGCATTCTTGGAGGCATCTGGCTTGCAGCTGTTTGAAATCGGATGCTGGATTAGATGGACCCTTGCTCTGATCCAAGACAGCATGCCAACTCTTCTCCGGGCTGTGGGGAACAATTCCAGTGATTTGGGGGCTTTTTCTGGCATGATAAGTGGAAAACTAAACTTCTTACATGTCCTTAAAAAAGAAAAAAAGTAACATGCAGGTTTACTGGCCAGGTAATTCCCACATGCCTTCCTGAATCTCAAGGCAGACTGCAGGATAGAATTTTAAAGCAAGAAACATGTGTATTATTTGATTTTACTGTCTTGTCCTCAGCGTTTTGCTGGATTTCCACACCGTCTTCAGTGTGAACATGCCTGCAGCCACTTGCATGAGAGGCAGAAGTACAAGTTGAAAAGCAGCCCAGAACTGAAGGGTCAGTGCAGCAGGATCACACAACCAGGGTGTGTCCGGGACTCTTTGACTGTGAAATTCCTTCATTCACAGAATCTGGGGGGCGGAGTGGAGGAGCTCGGCTGACCGCGTCTTCGGGCTGTGGTGTGCTCATGGCTCTCCGGCAGATCTTCCATCTTCTGTTGCCAGGAAAAGAATCCATGAAGGAGGGGGAGGCAGAGTTTTCCTGGTAGTGCAGGAGCCCTCCGCCGGGAAGCCTGCGGAGCGCGGGGAAGGCACTCTGCCCAAGGTCGAGGCCTGCAGTGCGGAGCTGCTGGTCCTGATCCGCAGATGCTGGGCTAGCGCGCAGACTCGCCCCATCCTGAAAGGCCGAGACACCCCGCAGAGGCAACGATGTGGGGGTCTTTGGCCGCGTGGCCTCGGCCCTGCCCAGCCTGGAGCGCAGCTGCCAGAGCCCCGCACCCCCCGTTAACGGGACCCTCTGGTGGAAAGAGCTCAGCCCAGATGCAGGCTGCAAGCTGCTTGTATCCACAAGTGCCAATCGCTCTCCAGTTCAAAGAAAGTCAGAAAACACACGTGAGGGGAAGCAGGCACAAAAACATGCCCAGGGATGCGGGCCCAAGAATGTCGAGCGCATTGGGTGTGCATGGAAAGATGGGCTGATGCGCATGCTGGCTTTTCCAACAAATCTGCACCCTGCTGCGTCGGTGGCCCAAGGGAACTTAAAACGGGGGCGAGGAGAAACTGAGCAGGGCTGAACCGGTCTGGTTTGTCTCCGCAGCTGAAATGGAGAGGCCGGAGAGTCATGCCCAGCTCGGTGCCCTGGCAGGCCGCACGCCTGGGCATGGCTAGGCAGGGAGGGGCCTGGCAGCTCCCAGCATCCCCTGGCCGGCTTTGTCAGGCCCCTTGTCTGTCTGAGCATGCCTGGTCTTGCCCCACGAGCCACAGTGGCAAGCCAGATACGCCCGGGGAGCGCAGGAGCAGGGCACCCATGCGGAAACTCTTCCCTGCCCTTTGCAGAACTCGGCATTTCCAGTTACACTGCGCCTTGACGTGGAGGCTCTATTCAGCCCACATTGCTGGTAGCCACAGGCAGCCCCGGCCTCGACGCAAAGAGCATGTGCAATGGGCCTGCACGCCACTGTTGTGGCGCTGTGCCCTCAGACTGCCTCGGACTTGCAGCGCTCGCTGGTGCGGGCAGGTGGGGCAAACGGCCACCAGTCACCCCGCCACTCCTCAGCACCTGGCTTCTCCCTAGAGTCCCCTTGCTTTTTCTGCAAGATGCACCCCCCTCCCCTCCCCTCCCTCCCCTTCCTTTCGTCCCGCCTTAATCTAGGACATGGTTCCTCAAACTACGGCCCGTGGGCCGGATCCAGCCCGCCATGCCCATTTATCCGGCCCAACTCAGAGGTTTTGGACTCGCTCAGAGAAAACAATCTTCGAGCAAAACCCCTGAGCCAGTGCAGGCATTCTCAGAAACTGAGCAGAGAGCCGGCGCATGCGCCAAATTGCAACAGTTCGACTGCATGTGCACCCGCTCCCCCCCACCCCCCACCCCCCTTGCACACATATACAGAATACGGAGCGGGAAACAGAAGAGAGGCAGGCAGAAGAGAAAGATGGAGACAAAGAAACTAAAAAAGGATTGAAAGTAAGAAAAATGCAACGTTTAAAATCTATTTTTAATTATGCGAGCCTGGGGGCGGCCAGCTGCACGGCCTTCTCCGCGCGGGCGTGAGCCCACCGCCACTTCGCCGGCCTGCACCCACCGCTGCCGCCTTTCAACTGGCCCCCTGTTGAAAAAGTTTGAGGACCCCGGGCCTAAGATACCTGATTTCCTTCCTCCTGTGCCTCACCTCTGGGGGAAAGGGGCCGCTGCCTCAGAATGTCCTTTCTCAGTGCTCAGAAAAGCATGCCTTTCGCCACCTTCCTCTCTGCCGCCATAGTTAGTTACAGTTATTGATTATTCATTCAACTTATATGCTGCATTTAATTAGTCCAAGAACTCTCTAAGCAGATTACAAAGAAGCTATTAAAACAGCATTATGCAATAAAAGCATATGAATGTATAATATATAATTATAATAACAATTGCATAATAACAATAAATAGTAGATATTTTATCATAATAGTAGCAGTATACGATAAAATATACAAAGGTACAGCTGTAAAATACATGGCTAAGGGGCCAAGTATAGGTTGAAGTAGTATATGTAAACTGCAGAACAATACAAAACTATGTAAATATAAAACAATAAATATACATAAATAACGAACTTTAAAATCGAGCAGTGTAAAAATCAATTATTAACATATCTGGAGAACGGGATCGTGCTGGCCTGACCCCAGAAAGACTGCAGTGAGGGCACCCGGCGACCTGCTCCGGGAAGGCCATGCACGGATGGGCGCAGCCACGGAGAAGGCCCCTCTTCTGCCCGCCCTGCTTCCTGCCTCCGTGGAGGACGGCTCACCCGGAAGGGCCTCCTCGCCCACGCCCAGGGTCAGGCAGGCGGTCCTTCGGGTCCCCTGGTCCCAAGCCTTTTGTAGCCGTGGGCAGTTGTTGTAGTTCAGTGGCAGTTGTTACTGGTGTCCTCTGTCCTTGTGTGTGTGCTTTCCACGGGAGCCGAGCAGCGAAGCCTCCACAGCAGAAGGTCTCCGCCACCCGTTGTCATGCTAGAAGCGTTCCCTGCTGCAGCCACCGGCAGATGCCAAGAGAGGCCAGTGGTGGGAAAGAAAAGGGGGCTGCCCTCGCACCCAGGCCCCAGCCGCCCGAGGAATGCCAGCAAGGCTGAGCTTTCCCTGTGCTGCCCTGCCTCCCCCTGCTGCGTGCAGAGGCTCCACGGGGACCTGGACTGGCCGCGGCTGGAGACTCAGGGCAGGACACGAGGCTCCCTGCGGTGTGGGCCATGCCACCACTTGCTGCCATGAGAGGAGGCCACGACTCCCACAACTTTACAGGGCGGGCAGGCAGGTAGATTTGTCTTCAATAACGAGGGAGGGGGGATTTCTCCTTTCACTTTCCCTCAATTTCTCATGTTTTAAATCTTACATTTGCTTCATCCTGAATTGTGCATTCTGGCCAGGCTTCCCTTGAATTAATCTGGAACTCGGAAGATCTTTCCAACCCTACCTTCAGTTCATTCTGGACAGTGAGATTTCTTTTTTTGGGATTTCATGAGGGTCCATCCCAGACTTGACCGATTTTTAAAAAGTCTGCATGAAAGCACATATACGTTTTCCCTACTGCATGTTTCCCCTAGATTAGGAGCAAAATGTTGGGATGTGGTTCCCAGCCAGTGAGGAGCCCCAGACCTGCCCCACAGCCTGGGGCTCGGGGCAGGCGCTGCCACCCAGGCACCCAACGTGTTCAGCCGTGGCACAAGCCACCCGGGCCCGAGGGCGTCCCGCCAGCCTGAGAGGGCGAGCGCCCTGTCCGTGCCTCGCCAGCACCCCACAGGGCCGGGCGAAGTGCCAGCCGGGTGCAGCGAGAGCGGGGCCAGAGGTGGGCCTGGCGTGTGAAGCGGGTGGGGCGGCCTGGTTTGCCCCCACAGAGAAAGCGTGGCTCCCGCAGGCCCTGCCTCGGGGGGAGGGGGAGGGACCCCAGCCAGATGTTTGCACAGCCAGCTGTTGCTTGCCTGGCAGGATCCCTCGGGCCGCGCGGCAACCGGAATGCCCTCCGTCCGAGGCAAGGGGCTGGGCCCCGCTCCCCTTGCTTTGCTTTTCTCAAGTGGGTTCCTATCTTTTCCACTTGGCGTTCGGTGGTTCCAGATGGCCTGTCTGGGCAGGTGTGGAGTCTCCCGCGACTGAGCACGGCCTCCTTCCTTGCTCTTCCCTTCTCTCTCCCCCCCCCCCCCTTTCTTTCTCTCCTTACAGAAGAGGAGGAAGGCGGCCTGCCTTGCGCCAGGGCAGGTTGCGCGCCGGGGCTGCTGAGGGACACACACGACGCGTCCGACCGTCCGCCTGGCCGGTGCTCTGGGCTGCGCGGAGGCCGCTGGCCAGGAGGGGCCGGGGCCGAGGCCGCAGGAGGCCCGTCCGGACGAAGCCTTGCCAGGCCAGCGTGGGCTGCGAAGATCGAGGGGGCAGGGGGAGGACCACTCCGAGCTCGTCACCACGTGCGCCGGCCCCCATGGCGAGGCGCGTCTGCGGGCGACGGCTGGCGGCGCCCCTGTCGCCGAGGGGGAAGTGGCAGAAGTGGCCGGAGGCGGCCACTGGGCCAGCGGAAGAGCGCACGCGGCAGCGGCCGGTGTTCACCGTGAATGCGGGAGGCCGGAGGCAAGCAAGCAGGGGAACGGCTTGCCTGCTTGAGGGCGGCTTCCCCGAGCAGGTGCCCTGTGGATGTGCTGGACTGCAACTCCTGTCTTCCCCATGGTGGGAGTCATTGGCCCACACATCTGAAGGAAGTTTCTTGGGGCCCAGGACTGATGGGGAACTCTACAAGAGAGTCAAGTAACTTGGCATTTCCACCAAAGTGATTCATGAATTCCACAGTGGCACAGCCTTTCCTGAATTGCACAGATTCCATGGATATTGTCTTCTTCTTTGCCTGTAATATTATTCAAATATAGAAATAGAAAAATATGCAAAATAAAAGGCACACTTGAAAATGCACACTTACCATGCGTTTGAGTGAAGCGTAGTTTTGGTAGATTTGCACATTTTCAGAAGGAGAAATTTATACAAATTGGTTGCTGTCACATTTGTGTAGTCTTATCGACTAGTGGAAGAAAAGTTGCCTGGCAATCTGTGAAACCTCCACCCACTTGAGAATTCCCTGCCTCAGTGGCCCCTCTGAGAAACCTCCACCTGCAACTGGAGTCTTGTGCTCAGTTTTGGGCCCCTCATTACAGGAAGGATATAGCCAGGTTGGAGCCAGTGCAGCGCAGGGCCCCAAGGTTGGTGGCTGGTTTGCAGGGGAAGCCGTATGGGGCGAGACTGAGGGAACTGGGTCTCTTCAGCCTGGAGAAGAGGAGACTCGGAGGGGATCTGTTGGCGACATGCAGGTATGTGAGGGGGTGTCACATGGAGGTGGGTAGAGACCTGTTCTCCCCTGCAGAGGAAGGCAGGACGCGCTCCAACGGAGCAAAGCTCAGGGATCCAAGGTCCCATTTAGATGCCAGGAAGCACTTCCTGACAGTCGGGACCCCGAGGGTGTGGAATGGGCTTCCCCGGGAGGTGGCTGAGGCCCCATCGGTGCGGGTGTTCAAGGATAGGCTGGACATGCACATGGTGGGCATGTTGTGAGCAGGGCCAGCTGGAGCCAGGCGTCAGACTAGATGGCCTGGGAGGCCCCTTCTGCCTCGCTCTGTTTCT